TATACATGTAGTTATTATACATATATTCATATATAAAGATATATATAGTTTACATAATATTAAAAAAATGTAATATATATATTTTTTGTTTAGAGAGGAGGTTTTGCCATGTACCAGCAGGACTTGAACTCCTGACCTCAGGTGATCTGCCCACTCGCGCCTCAAAGTGCTGGATGGGATTACAGAATGAGCCGGCTGCCACGAAAAAAAAAAAAAAAAACAAGAAATGTGATTCCCAATGTCGGAGATGGAACCTGGTAGGAAGTATTGGATCATCAGGGTGAATACCTCATGAATGGCTTGGTGATCAGTGAGTTCTCAGTTCATGCAAGATCTGGTTGTTTAAAAGTGTCTGGGACCTCCCCTCTCTCTCGCTCCTACTCCCGCCATGTGATATGCCTGCTCTCCCTTTGTCTTCTACCACGAATGGAAGCTTCTTGAGGCCTAATCAGAGGCTGAGCAGATGCTGCTGCCATGCTTGTACAGCCTGTGGAACCATGAGCCAGTTAAACCTCTTTTCTTTACAAATCACCCAATCTCAGGTCTTTCTCCATAGCAACACAAAAATGGACTAACAGTTGGTCTAAGCTGGCTTCAAGCAGTCATAAAAAGGGGTGATCAGAACTATCATCCCAAATAGAGACTGTAAATGATAGAAACATTCTTTTTTTCTTTTTCTTTTAGTTTCATGACGAATACAAAGACCAAAAAAAATTGTATTGTAAACAATTAAGTAGATTGTGGGAACTGTGTAACCATCTTACACTGGTTCCAGGGTATACTCTGGTAATAGAGCTAAAGATGTAGATCACACTGTGATCAACGCCATCACAGAGGCATTGACAAGTCTTATCTACTAAAGAGTGCTTGGTGGTTTTTCAAAACATCCCTGGACTGGAGGATTTTCAGAAAAATGCCTCATCTGAGAAGTGTGAACTATGGAAGAAATGAAAACTTTTTTTTTAAGCCACTGAAACTCTTACAATCTACTTCACATTGAAGTGGGGAAGTATCTAAAAGAAGCAAGTCCAATGAGATGAAAGTACACCATAAAGACTGTTCATCTTTGCAGCAATTAGGATTTGTATCGTTATTTGTTTAATGTGGTTTAAGAACTTCTGGGTCTTAGTTTGAGACCAACCTGGGCAACATAGTGAGATCCTTTATTTATTTATTTATTTATTTATTTATTTATTTATTTAGAGACAGAGTCTCTCTCTGTTGCCCAGGCTGGAATGCAGATCTCTGCTTAGTGCAACCTCTACCTCCCAAGTTCAAGCGATTCTCCTGCCTCAGCCTCCTGAGTAGCTGGGATTACAGGATTACAGACATGTGCCACAACACCCGGCTAATTTTTATATTTTTAGTAGAAATGGGATTTCATCATGTTGGCCAGGCTGGTCTCGAACTCCTGACCTCAGGTGATCCACCCACTTCAGCCTCCCAAAGTGCTAGGATTATAGGCATGAGCCACTATGCTTGGCCATGATGCTGTCTTTAAAAAAGAAATAATAATAATAATAATAATAATAAAAGAACTACTAGGTCTTAATACAATCCTGAATATTGCATAAGAATATAGAGTATATCTAAATATATCTACGATATATGTATCTATGATATATATATGTGTATATATATATCTGATATATATCAGCCAGTAGCAGTGGCTCACACCTGTAATCCCAACACTTTGGGAGGCCAAAGCAGGCAGATCACTTGAGGTCAGGAGTTCAAGACCAGCCTGGCCAACATGGTGAAACCCCGTCTCTACTAAAAATACAAAAAATTAGCTGGGTGTGGTGGCAGGTGCCTGTAATCCCAGCTACTCGAGAGGCTGAGGCAGGAGAATCACTTGAACCTAGGAGGCAGAGGCTGCAGTGAGCTGAGATCGTACCATGGCATTCCAGCCTGGGTGACAGAGTAAGACTCCATTTCAAAAAAAAAAAATATATATATATATATATATGATTTATTATTATTAACCAATCATCATTAATTTAAGGTTGTGTTTTTATACAAAAACACTTAAATGTGTGCAGCTATTTTCTTATATCAAAAAGACACTAAAAGTTTAAAACATCATAGCAAATATTAAAATTATTTTGTCCACATTGAAATATTGTGTATGCAAAATGCCTTAATTATTAACCAGCTAACGTGTTATGATGCCAACACCTGTTGAAAAATTAAAACCAACCACGCTTCTGGCATGAAAAAATCATGTATTTCTTTATATTCATGTAGAATGTTGTTACTGAAACTTGTTTCACACTGTTTTTAAAACTTCAGAATATCTCTAATGTATCTGATTTACGGAGCGGGGAGAGTCAGGCCATTATGTCATGTATTTCTGTGTTACACCTATATAAAAGAAAAAAGGGTGACTATACATTTGTATGAACCCTCAACTGGAAATGTCTGCAGAGCTTACCAATTTATGGGCACTTTTTGTTGTTTATAGATTTCTACTTTTTTTCTTTTCCTTTTTTTTTTTTTTTTTTGAGATGGAAGTGTCACTCTGTTGCCCAGGCTGGAGTACAGTGGCACAATCTTGGCTCACTGCAACCTCCGCCTCCCTGGCTCAGATGATCCTCCGGCGTCAGCCTCACAAGTAGCTGGGACCACAGGCACACGCCACCATGGCTGGTTAATTTTGTTGTTGTTGTTGTATTTTTGACAGAAACGGGTTTCACCATGTTCCTCAGGGTAGTCTCAAACTCCTGAGCTCAAGCAATCCACCCACCTTGGCCTCCCAAAATGCTGGGATTACAGGTGTGAGCCATTGTACCTTGCTGATTTCTACTATTTTCAGTTCTCCATCACTTAAGCTTCCCTTGAGTAAATTTACTAAATATATGTTTTTAAAATAGAGGGGTGGGAATAGCACAAGAGAGAGGAGTAATGAAAAACAAGATGAATAGCGTAAAAGAGAGGAGTAATGAAAAACAAGGTCGGAACTTGAAGGAGCCAGTGCCAGATTACTGAGCAACCTTGGTATCATTCTAAGTAATGGGAAATCATGGAGGGTTCAGAGCCAGGCAGTGAAGGATGTGCCTGCTTCAGGGAGGCTAGCCCGGCAGCTATCTCTGAAATGAACTGTAGCAGGAAGAGGCCACTTAGGATATCACTATGATTATGAGGGAGTTAACGAGCGCTTGAATTAGGGAAGTGGCAGTGAGACTAGAGAATATGAGATGATTATATGAGAACTCCTACAGGGAATCGACAACACTTGGTAACTGACCAAATGTGAAAGTAATAGAAAGAAAGATGATGCTGAGCTTTCAAGCCTGGGAACTAGGCATGGTTATAAACAGAAATCAATTAATACAAGAATAAGAGCAGGCTTGGGAAAATAGAAATCAAATAAAATAAATGATATAGGTGGATTTTGATGTGCAAATGGAAAATCTACCTATATACTGGGGGCATCTGGAAGTGAGGGATTCAGGCTTGGGAGAAAAGCCTGGATTCTCTTTAAGGAGAGAAGGAAATACAGTCGGCCCTCTGTAACCATGGTTTCCACATCCGTGGATACAACCAACCACAGATTGAAAATATTCCGAAAAAAATGGGGTTGCATCTGTACTGAACACGTACCGACTTTTTCCCCTTGTCATTATTTCCTAAACAATAGGGTATAACAACTATTCACATAGTTGTTTAGGTATTATAAAGCATTTGCATCATATTAGGTATTATAAGTAATCTAGAGATAATTTTAAAGGTATACGGGAGGGTCAGGCATGGTGGCTCAGGACTGTAATCCCAGCACTTTGGGATGCTTAGGTGGGAGGATCAGTTGAGCCCAGGAGTTCAAGATCAGCCTGGGCAAAAGAGTGGGACCCCATCTTTGCAAAAAATTAAAAAAATTAGCCAGGTGTGGTGGCATGTGCCTTTAGTCCCAGCTACTCGGGAGGTTGAAGTGGGAGGACTGCTTGAGCCTGGGAGGGCGAGGCTGCTGTGAGCTGTGATCATGCCACTATACTCCAGCATGGTCAACAAAATGAGACTGTCTCAAAAATATATAGAATCTGCATAGGTTACATGCATATACCAAGTCATTTTATATCAGGGACTTGAGTATCCATGGATTTTGGTATTAGTAAGAGTCTTGGAACCAATCCCCACTGTATACCGAGGGAAGACTCTACTCGTTACTTCATGCTAGTTATCAATCAGTGTCCTTCCTAAATCCTCATATGAAGAATATGGTTCTTGAAGGAATGGAGTGCCAGGGAGCTACGAGTATAGATGCTCTGTCAGTACCAGATGTGAGAACATAATATACTTAAATACATAAAGAGAAGCCCATTTAGCCATGGTAGCCTTCAATAACTTACAAATTATGATCTCTAGAGAAAAACAGCTAAAGGTATAATTTTAATGTTACTTTACCATGGGATATGATGATGACTTCCCCACTGATGAATCATTGTTCTTATGATTGATTAAAACACACTTGATCACAGGCAGATCTTGATTTGTAATAGTCCCAAATATCATTGCAGAAAAAACAACTGTAAAACAAAATAAAAATGATAATGTTGATACATGCACACCTTAAAAACAAAACATGTATTTATCTTGCAACCAAACAACAAAACAAAATGTAATCAGGGGAAATTGGCCACTATGAAAGTATGTAGGAAATTCGATTTTATGCAAGTTTAGTCTGCTTTAAATCAGGAGCAGAGGTACTTAGAGCAGGGCTGTCCAATAAAGCAGTCTGCAGGGATGGACATGTTCTATGCCTGTGCTGTCTAATATGGTAGCCACTAACTACACGTGGCTCTTAAGCTGTTGAAATGAGCCTAGTTTGACTAAGGAAATGATTATTTGTATACATGATTTTTGTGTGTGTGTGTGTGTGTGTGTGTGCGTGTGCACCTTTTGTTGTATATAGATTTCTATTTTTTTGAAAGGATTACAGGCCTGAGCCACTGCGCCCAGCCTGATATTCTTTATTTCTTTTCTTTGAGATGGAGTCTTGCTTTGTCGCCCAGGCTGGAGTGCAGTGGCGCGATCTCGGCTCACTGCAAGCTCCGCCTCCCGGCTTCACGCCATTCTCCTGCCTCAGCTTCCCGAGTAGCTGGGACCACAGGCGCCGCCACCACGCCCAGCCAATCTTTTGTATTTTTTTTAGTAAAGACAGGGTTTCACCATGTTGGCCAGGATGGTCTCTATCTCTTGACCTCGTGATCCGCCCGCCTCGGCCTCCCAAAGTGCTGGGATTACAGGCGTGAGCCATCACGCCCGGCCTGTTCTTTTTTTCTTTATGGATGCTTATAGAATCTTTTCTTCGAAACCACAGCACTAAAATTTTCAAAATTATGTGCCTTCTTGAGAGTCTATTTTCATCCATTGTGCTGGGTACACAGTGGGCCTTTTCAATCTAGAAATTCATATCCCTCTGTTTGGCATTTTCTTGAATTATTTCTTTTGATTCCTTCTCTCCTCTTCACTTTCTGTTTGCCCATGATGTAGATATCTTCCCCTAATGACTGACAATCTTCAACAGTCTGTTCACATATAAGAATGAAGTGCTGAGTGTCTGTCCTAAGCTCTATGGTGTGGCCCGTAGCCCAATCTCTGTAGGTGTATTTTTAGGTCTTTTCTCACGGGTTGGTCCTATTCCCCAGAGACGATTCTCTCTCTTGCCTGCTTCCTGTGTCCTGTGAGCTGGTCTTGGCAAGTTACACTATTGTGGGGTCCTGCAATGAAAAGCAGGCTGCTTCTCAGCTTTCTCAACCCCCAACTATAATTCAGCTTTCATCATCTGCTTCTTCTTTTTAATTTTTTTTTTTTTTTAAGAGACAGGATCTTGCTATGTTGCACACACTGACTTCAAACTCCTGGACTCAAGTGATCCTCCTGCCTTGGCCTCCCAAGTTGTTGGTTGATAGGGTGAGCCACTGCACCCAGCTTTATCTGCTTTAAAGCTCTCAAAGTTTTACTTTTTCCTTCTCCATCCTCTTTGTCTTTATTTATTTATTTTTTTTTTGGACTTTTTTTTTTTTTTTGAGACAGAGTCTCGCTCTGTTGCCCAGGCCTTAGTGCAGTGGCACGACCTCAGCTCACTGCAAGCTCCACCTCCCGGGTTCACACTATTCTCCTGCCTCAGCCTCTCGAGTAGCTGGGACTACAGGTGTCTGCCACCGCACTCAGCTAATTTTTTTTTTTGTATTTTTAGTAGAGATGGGGTTTCATCCTGGTCTCGATCTCCTGACCTCGTGATCCGCCCACCTTGACCTCTCAAAGTGCTGGGATTACAGGGTTAGCCACCATGCCCGGCCTCCTCTTTGTCTTTATATGTTTATATCTTTGTTTCTTTGGGGGTATTAGGTATAATTGGCAATAAAAATTGCAGTGTACATCATATATTCACAGTGTACATCATGTAATTTTGATATATATATCGAAATATATGTGTATTTATATATAATGTATGTGTATGTATATGTGTATATTAATATATATACATATATATGGGCTTCTCTTTATGTATTTAAGTATATATACACATATAAGTATATATACATATACATACACACATTGTGAAATGAACACCCCAATCAAGCTAACTAACCTATCCGTCAGCTCGTATACTTATCTTTATCTTTTTCTTTTTTTGTGATGCAAACATTTAAGATCTACTCTCTGTCTTTTTTTTTTAAATTGAGACAGAGTCTTTATCTGTTGCCGAGGCTGGAGTGCAGTGGTGCGATCACGGCTCACTGTAACCTCTGCCTCCAGGGTTCAAGTGATTCTCCTGCCTCACCCTCCCAAATAGCTGGGATTACCGGTGTGTGCCATCGTGCCCAGCTAATTTTTGTGTTTTTAGTAGAGACTGCGTTCACCATGTTGCCCAGGCTAGTCTCAAGCTCCTGGCCTCAAGTGATTCAGCTGCCTTGGCCTCCCAAAGTGCTGGGATTACAGGCGTGAACCACTGCACCTGGCCAAGATCTATTCTCTTAACAAACATGCTTATCTCTTTAAAAGCATTTTTTGGCTGGGCATGGTGGCTCATGTCTGTAATCCCAGCACTTTGGGAGGCTGAGGTGGATGGATTGCTTGAGGCCAGGAGTTTGAGACCAGCCTGGGCAACCCAGTAAAATCATGTCTCTAAAAATTTTTTTTAATTAACTGGGCATAGTGGTGTGTGCCTATAGTCCCAGCCCAGCTACTCAAAAGGCTGAGGTGGGAGAGGATCGCTCAGGCATGGAATGTGGAGGCTGCAGTGAGATGTGATTGCACCATTGCACTTCAGCCCCTGGGTGACAGAGTGAGACCTCATCTCTAGAAAAAAAAAAAAAGCATTTTTTACTGTCACTTGAGTGGTCTATAGATAGCGACAGGAGGTAATATATGTGTTCAGCCATCTTTGTAACCTTATAATCTGAGACAGTCTCAGAAAGTAAGAACTTTTCCTGCTCCACTTTGTAATGTTTTCTCCCTAGTCTTTAAAAAAATAATAATTTTAAAATATTTTATAAGTATAATTAACTTACAATAAATTGTACACATTAAAAGTATACAATTTAGTAAATTCATACATATCTACAAAACCAACACCACAATCAAAATAGTGAATTTAAGGCTGGGCATAGTGCTCACACCTGTAATCCCAGCACTTTGGGAGGCCAAGGTGGGAGGATCACTTGAGACCAAGACTTAGAGACCAGGCTGAGAGACAGAGTGAAACCCCATCTCTACAAAAATTCGTTTTTAAAACATTAGCCAAGTGTGGTGGCACGAGCCTGTAGTCTCAGCTACTTGGGAGGCTGAAGTGGGAGGATAGATTGAGGCCAGGAGTTTGAAGCTGCAGTGAGCTATGATCAAGCCTCTGCACTCCAGCCTGGACAAAAGAGACAGACCCTGCCTCTAAACCCAAGAAAAAATATTTTTTTAAAGATAGTAAAGTGACCTATCACTCCCGAAAGTTTCCTTATGAAGCTCTGATATCACCCCCTCCTACCAACCCCATCCCCCACACCCAAGCCACCTCTGATCTATTTTCTGTCACTACAGTTTGAATTTTCTAAAATTTCACACAAATGGAATCACAGTATGAACTGTTTTTTTATAGGGTGGGTGGTCGGGCTTCTTTCACTCTGCATTTTTTTGATATTTGTCCATACTGTAGTAGATATCAGTAGTTCATTCCTTTTAATTACCAAGTAGTCATTTGTTATATAGATATATAACACAATTTGTTTTCATCTATTCATCTGTGGACACACATTTGGGCTGTTTCCACTTTTGCTCTTACTAATAAAGCTGCTATTTATATAAAAGTCTTAATATGGATATACACTTTCATTTCTCTTGGCTAAATACTAAGGAATTGAAGGCCTAGGTTACAGGGTCGGTGTATTTGTAACTTTTTTTTTTTTTTTTTTTGAGACAGAGTCTTGCTCTGTCGCCCAGGCTGGAGTGCAGTGGCCGGATCTCAGCTCACTGCAAGCTTCGCCTCCCGGGTTCACGCCATTCTCCTGCCTCAGCCTCCCGAGTACCTGGGACTACAGGCGCCGCCACCTCGCCCAGCTAGTTTTTTGTATTTTTTTAGTAGAGACGGGGTTTCACCGTGTTAGCCAGGATGGTCTCGATCTCCTGACCTCGTGATCCGCCCGTCTCGGCCTCCCAAAGTGCTGGGATTACAGGCTTGAGCCACCGCGCCCTGCCTGTATTTGTAACTTTTTAAGAAAGTGTCCAGTTGTTTTCCAAAGAGGTTAGAGCTTTATGTTCCCACTCGCAGTGTACGGAATTCCAGTTGCGTCACATCCTTGCTAACATTTGGTATGATGAGACTTTAAAATTTTGGCCTTTCTAATAAGTGCGTTGTATCTCATTGTGTTTTTATTTATTTTTATTTTTTATTTTTTGAGACAGGGTCTCACTCTGTCACTCAGGTTGGAGTAGAGTGGCGTGATCACAGCTGTCTGCAGCTTTGACCTCCTGGGCTCAAGCCATCCTCCCACCTTAGCTTCCCGAGTAGCTGGGACAACCAGTGTGCACCACCATACCTGGCTAATTTTTGTATTTTTGTAATTTTTGTATTTTTTGCCCAGGCTGGTCTCAAACTCCGAGGCTTGAGTCATCTGCCCGCCTTCAGCTCCTCAAGTGCTGGGATTACGGGTGTGAGCCACTGCGCCCAGCCCTCATTGTGGTTTTAATTTGCATTTTCCTCCTGACTAATGAACACTGAACATCCATTTAGATGATACTATTACATTCCATAACTTCTTTGGTGGTGTGTCTGTTCACATCTTTTGCCCACACCTAATCTTTTTTTAAAGGGATTGCTCATTTTAAAAATTATTGAGTATTTTATAATGGACAAAAACATATACTCACGGAGTATAATGTGATGTTTTAATATATGTATACATTGTGGAATGATTAAATCAAACTAATTAACATATACATCATTGTGGTTTTGATTTGTATTTCCCTGACGATTAGTGATGTTGAACATTTTTTCATATATTTGTTAGCCATTTGTAAACAACAAGGTATG